TATTATTATTATTATTATTATTATTATTATTATTATTATTATTATTATTGATTTGCCTTCTGATTTTTCATTTTGAAAATACCAGTAAACCTGCCTTGCAATATATGCTTTTATTTAAAAAGTGGCCAGCTAAAGCTAAAGCCTGCCCTTTTTTATTCTTCCAGAATTGCAAGAGGTTTGTGGCCTTTAGTAAGGAAAGAAAGTTCAGCAGGGCATGTTTCTGAGTTAGCATGCTGGGCTCAGATGCAAATTTTGCTTTGCTAGAATGCATGCAGTCCATTTGTATTAATTGCTAATTGCGCTTGAGGAAAAAAAACTTAAAAGGACTTCAAAACTTCAAGCCACATATTAACTAGCAGTATATATGTTTGGGTATGAATATTTAGGGACTTCGGTAGACCTTGCCTATAATTTATCCAATCATTTAGTTTTTAATGTATTCATAAATTCAGTTATAAATATTTCAACTGGATTGGCATTAATCTTTACTCGTGAAGTTAAACTTTCGTTGTCAAGATTAAAAAGAACTAAGTAGCACTTTAAATAAAATTAGAAGTTTTTTTTGTAAAGAAAATGAAGATGCCCACATAGTATATTGTAAATTAATTCAGATAACAGATAATCAGAGTTGGAAGGGACCTTGTAGGTCATCTAGTCCAACCCCCTCCCCAAGCGGGAGACCCTACACCATTTCTGACAAATGGCAGTCCAATCTCTTCTTGAAAGTCTCAAGTGATGGCGCTCCCACAACTTCCGAGGGCAAGCTGTTCCATTGGTTGATTGTTCTCACTGTCAGAAAGTTTCTCCTTATTTCCAGGTTAAATCTTTCCTTGTTCAGTTTCCATCCATTATTCCTTGTCTGGCCCACAGGCACTTTAGAAAATAGGTTGACTCCTTCCTCTCTGTGGCAGCCCCTCAAATATTGGAAGACCTCTATCATGTCTCCCCTGGTCCTTCTCTTTACTAGACTAGCCAAGCCCAGTTCCTGCAACCGTTCATTGTATGTTTTAGTCTCCAGTCCCCTAATCATCAAAATGCAAACACCTGCATCAGTATAATTGCAGAACTGCAATCCTAATTCTAAAAAATAGCTGCCTTGCATATTTTTACTCTCTTATAAACTCATGAAATGTTTTTCCTCAGTCAAAACTTGATCCAAAGACATTGAGGCATTGTTCAGTTCTTTTGGTCTAGAGTGGATTTAGGTACATTTCCAGAGAAATAGTTTTCCTTCTAGTAAACAGCAAAGTACCTGAAACTCTTATCTAATCAATTCCCCCCCCCCCAATATCAGCACTAATATTTAATGTTTTATACATTAAAGTTTGATATGGGTTCTTTTATTTATCTAACATCTTATAAGGTAGCTATTCTACCATTTCCATCTGTTGTCCTGGAAGAACCTAGATGTTTCTACTAGGTGCATGGATTAAAAAAAATAAAATAAGTTATTATATATCTGATTGTAATTTCTTATGTTTCAAATATCAAACTTCTTTACATCTGATAATGAAAGATTATCCTGTTATTCCTTTCAATATGTCTGTATATAAAAGACTATTTTTCCAGGATAATCAAACAATAGTTTACCCTCAGTGTAAACTTACTCCTCCCAAACTGTTTTACTTGGGCAATTTGTTAGTATAACTGAATAAATGTAACCAACCTGTAGTTTGCACTATACCCAGTGACAAAATTTTTTTTTTGGGTGTGGCTCCTGCTGCTCTTATCAGTGGGAAGAAAGGACCAGAAGAAAATGCTTCCGATTGTGCCCTAATCAGAAGCATTTTTCTTCTGGCCCTTTCTTCCCAGTGATAGAGCAGCAGGAGCCACATACAAACACAAAATGCTTTTTTGTGTTAAGGGTTAAGAAAAAAAGTTTAAAAAAATCATAAAGCTGCTTTGCAGTATAAAATACAGTATGCTTCATGTTCATCTCAGGAGTATGTAGCTGATTGTCCTTCAGTGAAAGTGAGCTTAGTTTTTAATATGCAAGAGATTGCAAATTGGGTCTATAGTATTTTGTAAATTGCACACACACACACACCTTCTGTGATCCTGCCCAGTGCTTTTAAGCTATGAAGCACATGAACCTTCCAATCAATCGCACCAAGTTAACCAGCAAATTTTTACAATTGCACTGTGGAAATCCCATCAAACTTTGCTTCATATGTTCTGGCAGAGCTATTAATTGCTACTTTGAAAACCAGCATGGTGCCTGGTCTGAAAACCGGCTCTGAGCATAATGGAGTGAGAAGGTGGGAGTACAGAAGCCAAACACTGGCATCCAAAGCTAATATTTTGCACTGAATAATTGACATATAGGAAAGGCTTCTATGGGGAGGCAGCGAAGCGTACTGCATTGTTACAGGACAAAGCCCCACAAAAGAGAGTTCTGCCATAATGAATAGCAGAAATGTTTTAAATAAGGGGATTAATATGTCTGCTTTTCATATTCTGAATCAGTTCTATTCAGGATCCTCCATGGTTAATAAGGCATTGATCGGTGATTCTTTTCTCCAACAAGCTGCCTTTCCTTCTGTTTCTTTGCTACTTGGATTTGGCCCATGACCAAAATGCCTGTTCCTGCTACTATGCCAGCCAACTTTATGACAGAGATGTTGCGTTATATTATTTTTCCCCTTAACAATCAACTGTCTCTTCATTTGCAGGATTGATTTATTACGTTCAGGCATTGTTTTCTCTCTCTCTCTCTCTGCCAAGTTATTAATGTTATTAAACCAAAGAGTTGCTAGTTACATTATAGAGGAATAACATGATCAGTGAGGTTACAGCATCTAATGTTTAAGATACATAATACGTCTGTTTTATAGACCTTTAAAACACGTATAAACTTCATATTGTTTCACCAAAATATTTAAGATACATAATGAAGCGTCTGTTTTATAGACCTTTAAAACATGTATAAACTTCATATTGTTTCACCAAAAAGTTTACAATGTTTGTTTGTTTTTCTCTAGTTTATTGCATCATAATGCTGAATAAACCTTGGAACCAACTGTGGAGAAGTGGTTTTGATGAAGACATTTCTTTTTTGAATTTGAAGAAGATCCTCTGCACCTTCTAAATTCTTAAAAGTTGGAAATGAAGGAATGGGAGTGGGAATATTGTTTTTGGTATATCAGCACATGGTTTAATTATGAATGAATGAACCCATGGTCGGGTCCTTGTGTTAGTAATTGTGGATTAATGTCAAGTTTAATAATTCTTTCAAAGGGGAGGGGAGGTAAGGGCGGGGATGAACTTTTCAGAGTTGCATAACACAGCACAACCCTCAATTTTCATGGACTTTGCTTTTTGTGTGGAAAATTTGAAATGGTTGTCACTTCCCTTTGTAACAATTTGAAGTGTCAACAGCAGCTGCAAAAGAAGCGGACAAGGCCTGGTTCAGCAAGATACATCTCTTTGTGAGTGAAGATGCAGCTCTGCCCAGGGCGATGAGCTTTGTCCTAGGCAGTGCCAGGAGCATCGGTTTCAATTGGTGAGCTGAGTTGTGGCTCTGAATTACTTTCTTAGGGAGCAGCAGCTCAATTATTAAAAAAAAAATTCCCCCAGTGTCTCTGTGAAAGAGAATGACTCTTCTTCCCTACATACATGCAATTTATTTCTTCTTATATTTATTAATTATGACTGTCCTGCTTCTAAATTGTTACTTGTTGTAGATACAACTATTTATTGTTCAGTGCTTGCATGCTAAAACAATGCCTGGAGTAATTTTCAAGTTATAAGGGCTTTTGGGACTTGTTTTGCACATCCTGTGATTTCTGACTTGCTTGGCTGCACAAAAAAAGCTGAATAATTTAGAAGAGAGTTGGGTAGGGGTCAGAAATGGAACGATTGCAAGGTAGCATTTTAAATTGCATATGTACTGAAGGACGAAGCCATGGAGGTTGTTTTCTCAAGCCATTGACTCCCTAAATTACATGTATGCCCTGCTGATAGTATTTCTGTTACACTTTATTTGCCTAGTCATGCCTTTTGAATGAAAACATCTAGAAAGAGAGACAATAGCCTTTGTAGCTTTCTTTTTGTGCAGCCTCATCACTATTGGAAAAGGGACTGGAGGGAAATACTACAGAACCTTTTTTTTTTCTCTAGAAGCTTTCCAATATGTGATACCCAGTTTTGTTTAGTTTATTTATTTATTTATAGCTGATGGGGTGTTTAAAGTGCCATTTATATGACATGGGGAATTTTATTCTCTTTAAGAGATGGGAAACCCTGGTGGGGGGGGGGGAGTGTTTCTGTTTAAATTAACACCAATTCTTTTGGTTTATCTTCCTGATTAAAATGGAATTAAAACCCATTTCCCCCCATCTGTTTTGTCATATTATATCTATATTATTAGATATAATAATTAGGATGGTGAATGGAGGAGCAGGGAGGTCCTAAATTCATTTAATATATTGTTTTTCATTAATTAGCAAACTGAGCTTTCAGAGGAATGGTAGCTGGAAGTATCATATGTGGAGTCCTGATCAAATAAAGGATTTTTAAATGTCCTACACCACCAACTTATTTTTTGGCTTGAATGTAAAAGTAAACCTATTCAGTCTTTCCTGGTGTACTTAGCCCATAGTTCCTTTCTTTAACTTTCTAGTTGTGCTTTTCATAAGAATTGGTATAGCCAAACAATATATTGCTACCAGTCTTCCATTGTGGTTGGTTGTCTTAATGTTGTGTAAGCAAATTGTTTTGAAATGCATGCATGCATGCTTATAAAGAATTATAATGATCACGTCTGCTTACATTTTGATAATGTAGTTCAATTCTGACAGTTTACTGTAAAGAACAATTTGTGTTCATGGCACAATCCTATATGTGTTTACTCAGTAGGTTTTAGTGTCTTGGGCTTAACTCCCCAGTAAACATGTTTTAGGTTTGTAACCATTGGCTTTAGAGAGCTTTCTCATGTTGCCATAGGTTCCCCCCCCCCCCCCCGATTCTCTATATATGCATTTCTTATGTATTATCTTAAGTAAGAAATGAATGTATGTGAAGTTTTTCAAATTGTTAGTTGTGGTTCTTAGCATGGGTAACAGAGAGGATTGAAAGAAAGTCTGAATTTTAAAACACATAAATGTATTGTGAACTTCTATTGATTTATACTGAAGACTGATTTCTTTGGTCAATCTGACCAAAAAAAATATTGGTCAGTTGCCTTTATTTAAGAATAACTCTGCTTCTGAACTCTGAATTAAATTTCCAAGAGTAAAGTTATATTAATATTCACTTCACTGAGGTGTTTGACAACCAGTACACCACTGTGCAAGCTAATCCAGAGTACAGCTGCATTAATGTAAGGCAAATTGGGAAATCTAAAAAAAAAGCTATCACAAAGCTCATATAATGTTCGTATAAAGCCCTGCCCGCAAATTATCTCCAAATATCTCTTAACTTACATTAGGATTGGAGGTATTATTGCTCCTATAACATACACGCAAATAAAGCAATTGTAAGTGCTAGCACTATATGTCCTTTTGCAATCGCTTTATATAGGAATTAATGGCTATTTTTGTGTGTATTTGAAGAAAGGTGAAAAACATAGTGAGAAATGACAGAATTCTGTCTGTGTACTTCTCCATGGAATTGTTGAGCTTATACTGCAAACCTGTTTTGTAATACCATCCAATTTCCTAAAGTGTCTGAAGTTTTAGCAGTTGCGTTTCAAAGCAGTAGCTTGCTTTCAAGTGCTTGGATTTACTTCACGAGTATAGGCAGAAGGGAATGAAAAATCAGGGTGGGCCTCTAGCCCCGCAGGCGAATATTTTGAGCTCTTACTTTTTGAATCAGCATGGGAATCTTAATTCGCTACTTGGTGATTTCCAGTCTGAAAAAATAGCCCACACTTCTGAGACAAATGCGGTTCACATAAAAGTGCACACAAAAACCTTGGCATAAGACGAGAAAGTTCTTCGTATTTTGTGGGCCAGTTGCTGTGGAAACATTAAACAAAGGACAACCTACCACTTCTGGTATAATTGTGTAGCCCCTTTTCTTTAGGCCTGACACCTGTCTGAATAAGAGTGATTAGAACTGAATAGTGTCCCTTGTCTGGCAACTGAAGATGCAGTTCACGTACAAAAATAAGTGAAGTAAAATGTCTATGTGGTTTTTTTTGTATGCTACTACGTTTTGAGGTTTTGTAAAACTGCATTTTTTTCACAATGTGAAACTGAAGGTCAATAAATTATTAGAGATTTTATCTTAAATATGCTCATCTGAAGTTTTCATTTCCTAATTAAAAACAAAACAAATGCTTAGTTCAGTGTACAAGTCCTGTCTTAATGGAAAGGGCATCTCAAAATAATTTAGGAATTGATTTTTTTCTAATATCTGCTTTGGTTACACTGGAGTGTTCCCCTTTGTTCCAATCTGTCACTTTTAACTGTGAACCAGCTTTTAAAGTTCAACTGCTAAAATGACAGGCGCTTTGAGATGATTCTGTGGGCAAGCATTTATAAATCTGCCCTCAGTTTTTGGCTTAAGAGACTGATATTACTTGGGAAATAAATTATGCAAGATGGAATTATTCCTGAGGAATAAAGTAAAAAATAACTGGTGCCTTTTCTTTTTCCATACTAAACACACATTAATCTAGATGATAGATTCATTGAAATCAGTGTGAAGTGATTATGGACAAGAGACAACTAGGTTCTATTTCCCTGCATATCTTGGGAAATTGTATACAGCTTCTTCCAATTTCAGCTAGAAGAAATACAAGAAATCTAACAGAGAACTTTGGGAATTAGTTTGCATTTCTATTATTTTTATAAGGACTTCTCAACATATGATCATAATTGTATCCAGAGTTATGGTCATAAGTCAGACTGGTCTTTAAGTAAGCACCATGTGCCATGTCTGATTTTGTCTTTTTTGCTGTGGTTAAGTAAATTGGTTATTAAGCAAACCCATTGTACTCAATTGAAATGAGAAATAAATGCCGATTCTTGACAAAAAACATAAATTGTACAGTAGTTATCTGACGACAGGATGCTACAAATGGCTTTAATGCAGGCTGGTTGCAAAGATCCCCAAATATGATCATATGACTGGGGGAGGTGGAATGGTTGTTGGAACTCCAGAACTAAGTTGTCAAGTCAAGCACTAGCTTTACATAGATGCATCCATATATTTTCATAATTATAACCTGCTCCAGTCTGGAAAGATTCTGGGCAGCATACAGCATCAAAGCAAAATGAAAAAAAGAGAAAACACTAGGGTACATACATTTTCAATAAAAAGCTGCAAATTTTCAGTGTTATACAGACTTTGTGCATGTTGATCTATAAGCATGTAAACAGTTGTAGCTTTCACAGCTGTAGAACTACCTAAGGATCATTTCTGTATTTCATTCAATTCAGCCAGGCATTCACATGCAGAAATAAATTTTAATGCAATATTTGCTTTTTTGCAGAATGTTTAAGCTGCACATCTGTACAGTGATAAGTGTAGAAGGACTTAAGAGACAAAGAAGAGAAAGCTGTAGTAAACCAAATGAATGGTGTTCCTCAAGGTTTTAGAAATAGACACTGGACAATTGAGTTCTTAACATATTGCATCGGTGCAGAACAGTAATGGCCAACACCATCCTTTCAATTGTCCCATATTCACTATCAGAAAAATGGTGTGTGAGACCTTGATAGGTAACATGATTCAATTTATCCATTATTGATATTGGTGTAATGGTATATAATACTGTGGAATTATTAATGGTACATAATATTGTGGAATTATTAGAAGAAGATAAACTAAATCAAATTCTTCAACTTTGGAATACCTCTCTAAAACAGTTCTTTCTTCCATCTAAACAAGGCAGTTTTCTGTGATTTGTGTAAAATATCTTTGCGACTTTTAATAACAATAAGGATCCAAACCGAGTCAGTCACCAGGACCAGAGTTTTAATCTTCCAAGCTTTCGCACGTGCTGGAACTTTTCTCTCTCCAGAATGTGTGCACTGGGCTGTTCCTTGTCTAGTATTTATGTAGTGGTGCTTTGTGTGTGGCTTTTAACTGTTAATTGGAATGTTGATGGCCAGTTATTAAGTTGCTGGTTGTTGTTTTTTGTGCTGGCACACAATTGGCTCCTAAATACCTGATAAGCTGGTTGTAAATCATCATTCCTGTTGACTGATAAGGGGCCACTTCCTAGGTTCAATCATTTTCCTGGCTATTTTTGTTCCTGCTCAGCCAACAATTTAGTAGCTGTGAAATTGAAGGTATGTCCTTGTTTGTTGAAATGTGAGGCTACCAATGAATTCAGGTTTCCTCACTCATATTCTTGCAATCTGGTGGTTAGCTTCCTCCCCATCTGTCCTATATAGTCATGGGCAATCCATGCAGAAAACCTGGTAAATTACAATAGACGTTTTCCCCACCTCCAAGCAATCTTTATACTGCATGATTTGTCTTCATGGTAGACCCTGGGCAGTGGGCAATGCCCACTTTCAGATCTTGGAAGCTGTGTTCTACTGCTTCTGAAATTTTTTGAAGTATGGCAGGGTGTGCCATATAGT